CCGTGCACCGTCTCTGTCGTGACCGATTTGAACACCTCTGGCTCAGATGCCTGGTCCGGGATTTCTGCGCAAACGAAGGTGGCGATCTTTTCCGGTCGTGGCTTGTGCTGAGGAGCCAGCCACACAACCACTTGGGCATGTGGTAGGCCATGCTTTTTTCAGTCTGTGCAGTGGATGCTGCCATAAGCTTCCCGGAAGATCGCCCTTTCGCCAGGTAAGGATATCAGCACTTCGAGTTTCGATTGGAAGACGTCTGAAACTATGTCGGGACGACCTTGACCCGTGCCGCCGGGATATTGATATTAATACCGGCCATCATATGCCTAGCACGGCCCATGAAGCTGGCGGGGACACCACGCTTCCGGCGGTGTGTCCGTGCTCCTCGCCTCCCTCGGGGGCGTCTGGGATGGCTCCGACAGTCTCTGTTCGAAACCCATTCAAGCCGTCTTGTTTCTGACATAAGTACAATGGGCGACCAGTTTTAATCTTCGCCATGGCGTCGACCGAAAACTGCTGGAAGAGCCTACCACAGTGTGGCACAATGTCAGAGTGCCCTGGTCGTTGCCACACGTCAACGCGCAGTGGTCCTGAGCGGTGAGGCCTGCAGAGCTCTTCAGGTCGACGAACCGCCCGTCGCTGCCGTGTGGGTGCATGCAGGGGGTCGTACGAACGATGAAACTCGCTGATTCTGGTTAGCCCTCCGTCACGCCGCTGCGGCCGATGTCCCGCTGGTCCGCCGGCTCCTCCGGCATCAGCGCTGCTATCTCTCGGCGCTGTGGCAGATTAAAGCGCCGCTCATGGTCTGACAACGGCCTGTGCTTTTCACTCAAGATGGTCTTGTGGTTGCTGTCACCGTTCTCAAGCATGTCCATGGACGGTCTCAGATTAGGTACAAACACGTTGTGCTCGTGCAGCATCGCTTCTAGTTGTAGAAACACGTCATGGCTCGGGTCTTGAAAACGTGCTTAGCGCGCGTCCAGCTGAGTGTTAAGGAAGTAGACGTGAGGGCAGTTGGCAACATTCTGTACGGGAGGTAGCAAACTACCGATCAGGTGGCATACAATTCCCTGGACAGTAAAGGTCAGGTTTCAGCCCGGATGCCGAGTCTCTTGGCCGTCGGGTTGGCGAGCTGAACGGCGCAATCACATGCACGGATGTGATCATTGAAGTGACTGTACAGTGGACGTGTGGAGCTGGACAGCTCGCAAAGAGCGGAGAGTGGAGGCGCGTCAAAAAGACGGATTCATGATGCCATATCGTCAGCAGGTCCCCAATGTTTCGCCCTTCCATTTTAGTGCTCCGCAGTGCCCGCGTGGAACGTCTTCCTTGCCAAGGATCGCTGTACGGAGTACTGGGAAGTGGTTCCGGCTGTAATGCAGCGTTGTATGGTCTGGTGGCACGCGGCGCAGGGCCTTACGGTGATTCCTCAGCCTCTGACCCTCGGCTGCGCGGCAGACAACATGACCCTCGTTTGGAGCAAGTCGTCCGGCTGCCGACATTCGCTGGGCATTGGCAGCCCTCCGCTGTGACCTCTCCGTGTCGTCTCCAGCGGCCCCGGCCACCGCCGCCCATTCTGCGCCGGCAGCCCTCCGCTGTGACCTCTCTATGGCGTGTTCAGCGGTCCTGGCCGCCGCCATTCGTTCAGTATTGGTAGAGAGACATTGACGACGTTGGGCCCCCGGCTCTTGGTGGCGTGCAGGTATTCGCCGCTCGGGTTCGGTGATCGGTTGCTGTGTGCTAAGTTCACCGCTAGTGCGCTGCTGACCACTGTAGCAACTGGAAGGGTCGTTATGGGCTGAGTAGCAGCGGCCGCTGAAATGCCACGAAATGAATAGTATGCCAAGGAACTGCCACCTCTTCCACTTATTCGCGGCTTCCAGTTGTAATATTCGTGTAGCTCAGACCACAGGTCCGCTCACTGGCTGTTCACGGTTGGTCTGTCATGGCGTAGAGTTAAAAGGCAATGGACGATACCATGGATTAACCATAAAACTATAATTATTTGATTTCATGGCCAGATCCAGGAAGTAGAGGGAGTCGCAGAGAGACCATGTTGGTTACACTCACAGGAATCTTCTTAATCTGGCGTAATCTATGCAATCCATATCAGAGCGAATCCTAGGGCTGGATCTCACTTCAACCAGACTCACGCTAACTTAACATTGCACTAACCATAGCGCGTGACACCCAGCTTAGCAGCAAACGTGATGGTTGAGTTTACGGGATTATCCCAAACCACTCCTGAACAGGACTGCACTAATTTTACTTAATGGGAGTGTCCCACTATTGAGGCACATTTTAAAAACATACTGTGGTAAACGTCATAACAAACGCCGTTGTCATGGCGACGGCAGAACCAGAAGAGGGCCGTTGC